TCTATTCTATTCTATTCTATTCTATCCTGTCCTGTTCTATTCTATTTTATTCTGTATTTGCAAACTGGCAAATTTATGACAGTTTCATCTTTGCATGCAACTGAAATTCAGCAAAAAAAAAAAAAATAAAAAAAAAAATCCACCTGTATAATTTTTGCTGAGGTTTGTGGTTAAAAATGACCTTGGAAGTCAATGATCTAGTGAACACAAATATTTTTTTTAAAAATGAAGCCAAGTCTTTTTGCATCCTCTTGGTAGAAAATGCATCTGCAGACTTGGTAGCTCATCAAACCTAGTCTGGCGTCCTAAGCCAGGGTTATTCACTGCACCATTGGGCTTTATAAACAGTTGGCCCAAGTTCATAGAAATGAAGCCCTTGGACCTAATATTTGCATTTTGATGTTTTAACAGAACCTGAGTTTTAAAATGTCAACACACTTACTTGGCTTCTTGTGGACCATGCTAAGTCATGGTTTGTTTAATACAATGTGCTGAACCCTGGTATGTGGAACGACACAAAAAGCCAAATAAATTATGTTGTGACTGCGGAGGTTAGAAGATTGGCTATTACATTGAGTCTGATGGCCTATCAAAATCATTGTCTTACAACATACAATTAATAGGGTTGGAAAAGTCCTTAGAGGTCTTTTAGCCCAACCCCTTGCTCAAGCAGGAGACCCCATGCCATTCCAGAGAAATGGTTGTCCAACAGTGGTGGGATTCAAAAAATTTTACTACCAGTCCTGTGGGCATGGCTTGGTGGGCGTGGCAGGAGAAGGATACTGCAAAATCCCCATTTCCATTCCACTCCAGGCAAGGATACTGTAAAATCTCCATTTCCTCCCCAATCATGTGCAAGGATACTGTAAAATCTCTGTAAATTTCCTCCCCGCCCCATTAACCTGCTTTCCAGCTCGACCCAACCAATCAGCTGCAGGCAGCAAATAGATGGGGGGCGGAGGTGGTATTTGCCGGTTCTCCGAACTACTCAACATTTCTGCAACTGGTTCACCAGGACTGGTCAGAACTGGCTGAATACCACCTCTGTTGTCCAATCTCTTCTTGAACGCCTCCAGTAATGGAGCAGCCACAATTTCTGGAGGCAACCCGTTCCACTGCTTTATTGTTCTCACTGTCAGGAAATTCTTCTTTAGTTCCAGGTTGGTTCTCTCCTTGATTAGTTTCCATCCATTACTTCTTCTCCTGCCCTCAAATGCTTTGGAGACTAGCTTGACTCCCTTTCTCTGTGGCAGCGCTTCAAATATTGGAAGACTGCTATCATGTCACCCCTGGTCCTTCTTTTCATTAAACTAGACATACCCAATTCCTGCAACCGTTCTTCATATGTTTTAGCCTCCAGTGCCCTAATCATCTCTGTTGCTCTTCTCTGCACTTTTTCCAAAGTCTCAACACTTTTTTTTTGTATTGTGGTGATACAAGAGATGACACAAGAGGTTAGTAAGCCTCTCTGTCTTCTCCAAAGCTGGAATTTGCAGACAAGGAACAAGCAAAGAGGTCGGGTGACATCGGCACTCTGAATTAATTTGGATTCACTGGGCCCATCTGGAGTGTCCAACCGATTTGGCCAAAATGAATTGATGGATTGATATGGTTCATTAAATCAGTTTGAATTGGTCTAGATTGACCTCGGGGCAGTGTGCTTGGGTTTTATTTATTTTTTTTGCTTGATGGGCTTTCACCGAATTAGATCTGAAGCCGTTCGATGGAAGAGGATCAGTTTTTCCCCAAATGGATTAGAACAGAATAGAAAATAGAATAGAATAGAAAATAGAATAGATTAGAATAGAAAATAAAATAGAATAGAACAGAATAGAATTAATTATTGGCCAAGTATGATTAGACACACAAGGAATGTGTTTTTGGTGCAAAATGCTCTCAGTGTATCATATTTTCCCTGAAAATAAACCCAATCAGGCACATGCGCTAAAATCCCCCCCCCCTAAAATATTGCAACACAGCAGCAGCCATGAGGTGACCACGATCTTCACCTCCTGCACCTCAAAAATAATAAGACCTTCCTGAAAATAAGGCCAAGTGCTTATTTCGGGGGTCAAAAGAAAATTTTCCTGAAAATATGGTATACAAGGAGAATAAAATACATTCATCAAGAATCAAAAGATACAACATTTAGTGATAGTCATGGTTACTAATGAACTATCAAATCATATTAGGAAACAATTAAAAACAATATTAATTGAAAGATACAAGCAACAAGGTTATAGTAATAAGTTGGAAGAGATAGATAGTGGTAAGGAAGAGAAGAAGAATAGTAATACAGTCTTAGTAAATTATTTGACAGTGTTGTGGGAATTAGTTGTTAAGCAGAGTGATGGCATGTGGGGAAAAAACTGTCCTTGTGTCTAGTTGTTCTGTTGTGCCTTTCTGAATCTGTTCAGGAGAATTGGAGGCCTTCGATTCAGGGGAAATGAAGTGGAGAAAACTTTAGTGTGTTCTTCAACCTATTTCCCTGTGTCCTCCAGCTGCTTTGATCTCCTTGCCTGCTCCCTGCCGAAATCATTTTTCAAAGAAAGTCAAGTCAAATCGTTTTTTTTCTTCCTTTCTCAAAAAAAAAGAAAAAGAAAAAAACAGGACTCTCTGATGGTTAGAAAAAAAGACAGGTGAACTCAGCTGAGAACACAACTGGCCCTTAGTGATGTTTCTGCACTTGGTTTTGTCTTTGCCACCCAGCTGTTCCACTTTTCACAACACTTAAGTGACAATTTCACAGCCATTACCAGCCTGCAGTAATGATGGGCCGGGAGATGGCGTGTGAACTGGTTGTAAACTATGAAATACTGGGACAAAGCCTCAGGCAGCTGTTAGAACAAACATTGGGGATAAATAGATTACTAAAAGCTTGCATTTCTTAAATGGCACAGCCTGATGTCTCTTAGCACCCCAGTAAACGTGGTATTTAGTGGAAGAATAATTGTTAATACAAAACCATGATTCTTGGCTGTTCAACTTCAGTTTTCCTAGCAGACACAGATTTGAGTTTTAGGATGAGCCTTGATCCTGGAGATAACTTTTGCCTCTTAGTTTGCTTTTCAGTATAATGCAACCAGGATGATAAGGAGACTGGAAGCTAAAACATACGATGAACAGTGGCAGGAACTGGGCATGGCTAGTCTAGTGAAGAGAAGGACCAAGGGAGATAGGATAGCAGTCTTCCAATATTTGAGGGGCTGCTACAGAGAGGAAGGGGTCAAGCTATTTTCCAAGGCACATGAAGGTCAGACAAGGAATAATGGATGGAAACTGACTAAGGAGAGAGTCAACCTAGAAATAAGGAGAAAATTCAGTGGAATGAGTTGCCTTCGGAAGTTGTAGGAGCTTCATTGCTGGAGGCTTTCAAGAAGAGACTGGACTGCCATCTGTCAAAAATGGTGTAGGGTCTTCTGCTTGGGCCAGGGGTTAAACTTTATGACTTACAAGGTCCCTTCCAACTCTGTTTAAGCCCAGTGAACAGTGTATAAGGCCCTGCACAGGTAATCTGGCTTTTATTATATTCTCCTTTTTCTTTTCATATCACCAGTTGTCTGTCTTGAGAGACGCCGTGTTTTTGAAGGGCCAGTTAATGAGGCCCACAATGAAACATTTGGTGGAGTAATTGGAAAGAAAAGTTCTTGTTGCCTTGTTAATATAGTATCTTCTTTCTCCCAGGGTAAAGGTGAAGAGAGGGGTGAAAATTTTCAGCATCCGAGCCAGCAACCCGTACATTTGGGAAGTTCAAAAGAGCGTGGATTATCTCGGGAAGAATTCCCCGGCAGTGATATTTTGCCAGAGAAAAACAGCTGGAAAAAGGTAGGCTTTGATTTTGAGGATTCCTTCTGAATCATTTTCAGATCATAGCTGAGTTCGTCTTCTACATATTCTTCCTGGGAAAGTTGATTTCCCACGATCGCCTTGTCTGGAAATACAGGTAGTCCTTGTCTTATGACAGCAATGGAGCCCCAAATTTATGTGGCTGAGACAGTTGTTCAGGGAATTTTACCCTGTTTTACAACCCGTCTTTCCACTGTTGTTAAGCGAATCACTGCAGTTGTTCAGTTGCAAAGTGAATCTGGCTTCCTCGTTAACTTTGCTTGAAGGTCGCAAAAGGGGGGGCACCTGACCCCGGGACGCTGCAGTTGTCATAAATATGAATCTGTTGCCGAGCGTCTGATAATTCAGTTTATTTTTAGTGCTGTTGTATCTTTGGTCACTAAATGAACAGTTGTAAATTGAGGACTATCTATAGATTTGTTGTGTGAGCTTGATTCCTCCTTCCCATAAAACACAGAGAACATGTGATATTATAAGAGCCGTGGTGGCGCAGTGGTTAGAATGCAGTATTGCAAGCTAACTCTGCCCACTGCCGGCAGTTCGATCCTGACTGGCTCAAGGTTGACTCAGCCTTCCATCCTTCCAAGGTGGGTAAAATGAGGACCCAGATTGTTGGGGGCAAGAGGCTGACTCTGTAAACCTCTTAGAGAGGACTGGAAAGCACTGTGAAGCGGTATATAAGTCTAAGTGTATTGCTATTGCCCTTCCTTCCTTCCTTCCTTCCTTCCTTCCTTCCTTCCTTCCTTCCTTCCTTCCTTCCTTCCTTCCTTCCTTCCT